CTTGAAAGCTCGGTGGTCTGCGAAGCTGCGATTCGCTCCACCACACTGCTCAATATAGGTGCGAATGCTCCTGATAACCGTTTGGACAGATCGTCTAGCTGTCCATTTGGTTGAGGTTGGTATCCCAAAGTGGCTCTCAGATGACTATTTAAGAGCTCCCGAAAACGAGTAAACACATCACTCATAAAACGAGGGTATTGATCGTGCCGAATCATCGACCTTGCTCCGAAGTTCCGGAATACACGTTCCTAATAAGCTTACGCGACGTCCTGAGCGGTTGTTGAATTCATCGGCTTGCACACTACGTATCCCGAAAACATATCTTGAAACAGCAGTAAAAACGTGTTTCCTCGATCGGACCTTAGCATGTGCGTCACAAAGTCCATCGACACGACTTCAAAAGGTTGTCGGGGTTCGATATTCCCGGGCGATGCTCCGGCGTTTGGGGGTTTTCTTTTTCCGCTCGCACAATCAACACATTCCTTCACAAAGTGTTCTAAATCCGCGTACATGCTAGGCCAATAGAATTCTGAACCCAACCTCTTATGGGTCCTGGTGATGCCTTGTTGACCTCCTTGGAAGTCTTCGTGGCCATAATGTAAGACATCATCTCAGAGAGCTTTTGGAATGACGAGTCGAGGTTCATCCTGAAAGTCACGTGGGCGATCGCGAGTTGAGCGAGCTAGTCGATACAACACATCTCTAGTGTCGAGTACAAATAGATCGGCAACCTTGTCAACCTTTCTCAGCCTTCTGGGTGAAAACTTCTCGAAGTCCTCCTTCAGAAAATTCTTGATCTCTGACAGGTACTCATCTGCGTCCTGATTCACTAGAATGCGTCGCCATCGTTCAGCCTGGAATTCCAAAGGGTCCATGGGTCGGTCCCTCGAAGTGGATTCGGCTTGGCTTCTGGAACGCGTTACTGCTGCAAGCACACGGGCCGATTTTGTCAATGGAGCTGACTCCGCAGCAGGCTGTTCGACATCTCCTGATCGTGTTTCCCCAGAAGCTGGATCAACCCCAGATGTTAACTCGGAGTCTTCTCTCGGAGTCTTCTACTTTCATGGGTTTCTCTGCGATCTTTGACATGTGCTCCAAACGCGCAGTCTCGGCCGTATCCGTAACGTCCCATGACTCATCCAGAATCAGGGTCTTCGTGGTAAAATAATCGGCGTCCTGATTATATTCCCGCTTCAGATGGACCAGACGTAACGATCCGAACTTCTCTTTCAGTAGATCAACTTTGGCAAAATGCTTTTGGAGATGTGGTTGGTTCCAGTTGATCAGTCCTTGAACCTGTTGGATAACTATTCGCGAATCCTCAACTGCTACCAGATTTTTCAGCCTGATTTCAATGGTCATCTCGAGTCCTTTGAGAGTCCGTTGTATTCGGCATCGTTTACTGTGACATTCTCTATAGGGAAAGCTTTCGCTTTTAGAACCTTCCAACCGGGTAGTTGCCATAACACACAACCACAGCTTCATTTTAGTGGAGAGTTTTGCAGCACCGTCGAAACTCAGAATGACTCCTTGGAAATCACTTCCCAACATCTCAACGACGGGGGTCGTCGAAGGTGTCCCTTTAGAAGGATCAGTGTCTCAACAGCCTCATTCAAATGTTCTCATGGTGTGACCCCAGCATCCGTGACGGCTGCAAGCCCATCTTCGTCCTTTTGGACTTTCCGGGTTTCGATATCCCAATGTGAAAGTGTGACTCACCAAGGAACGCACCTCCCGTCTGCCGACTTAGACTGTAACACCCATTTCATAATAACAGAATATCTGGTGTAGATGATCAGTTGTCGGCCTTCCAGAATCGTCCGAAAGTCTTGCAGCGCCCTCAGGATAGCGATTACATCATTCTCATCAATGTGATACCTGAGCTCGGCATCGTTCAGAACACGTCCCGTATACCGAACAGGTTGTAACGTTTCGTCGTATTCTTGTCCTACGACTGCACAACCAGCCCAACGGTTCGCATGCGGAATAATCACAAATGGTTTTTGGATGTCCGGATTTCTTAACATGGGCATCGCAACGATCTTCCTCTTAAGTAGTTCGAAAGATTCATGAGATCGTGAAAGATCTCGTCCCTGACGTATCTGGCCTTCTGAAAGTTCATAAAGAACTGATGCCACTACTGGAAAGTTCTCACTGAACTTGTGGTAGTAGTTCAGACTTCCGAGAAACGATAGCACACCGTTGGATTTGGGGAACGGTAGATCTATAACACCCTTTGCAACTTTTGGGTTCGCTCGGATACCTTCTGCACCAATTTCGTGTGACAGATAGGGGATCGATCGTTTTCCGAACTCGCTCTCTGGTAAACTCACTGATATATTCCAGTAACGTAAGCGATAAAGCAAGGTATCCAGATCCTCACAACGTTGATCCCATGTTTTCGCACCATGAGCAATATCATCAATGTAAGAACT